TAAGAACCAAAACTATGTGGCATTTAAAAATACAGTCAAAATTGTAGATAAACTAAAATGATGCAAAAATGAGCATATACTCCCTCTTCCATCACCATATTTAAGTTGAGCATCTGGGAAGAAGGGATACCTTATATAATAAATGCAGCAATATTTAGTGTCCTGTTAAACTAAAATAAATGTCATTAAAAACCAAACCTCTACTTGACAATGCTTATTTCTCTAATCCACAACCAACAGATTCTGACACAAGCTTTCAAAACCCTGTGGGTACATTACAGGAGACCAGGAGCTGGCAGAAAAGGTAAATGGGGAGTTATCACTTAAAGGGTTTGAGTTTTCCACTTGGATGCGGTGAAAATTTTGTTGAAATAGGTACTGCCAAAGGTTACAAAACATTAATGTAATAAATGTCACTGAATGGTACAGTTTTAAATGGTTAAAATGGAAACTTAAATGTTATCTACATTTTATCACAAAACTTAAAAAAAAAAAAAAAAAAAACCCTAATGGGTACAAATAAGCAGAACAAAGCAAATGTTTTCCTCTTTGAATACAGAGATGGTGAGAATCAACAATAAATCATAGTTCTTTGTTTTATGATGAAGAGACAGTGAATAAATGGGTTAAGTCTTTGTGTCAACCTGGCGGGGCCAGGATTCATAGTGGTTTAGCAGTTAAGATGCAGTTATCACTTCCAGGATGAAATCTAATACAGTGCGATGGATCAGCTCTGATCTAATTACCCTATGTGTTATAAATCCTCACTGAGGTCAGATGCAATCTACAGGATTAGGTTGTATCTTTAGTTAATCTCTTTTGAGGCATAAAAGGAGAGAAAAGTGAGCAGAGAGAGAGGGACCTACTGCTACTAAGAAAAAAGAACCAGGAGTGGAATGTGTTCTTTAGACATACATGGCAAACTCCAAGATCCAAGCAAACATTGCTGCATAGAGATCGCTAAGGAATACTGGGCCTACATATGCTTGAAGGAGACAAGGACCCTTCCCCAGAGCTGACAAAGAGAAAGACTTTCCCTGGAGCTGGCACTCTGAACTTGGACTTCTAGCCTCCTAAACTATGAGAATAAATTTCTGACAGTTAAAGTCATCTACTTGTGGTATTTCTGTTATTGCAGCATTAGAGAGCTATGACAGAATTTGGTACCAAGATTGGGGTATTGCTCTAACAGATATCTAAAATATAGAAGCAGTTTTAGAATTGGCCAATAAACAGAGGACGGAAGGAAGAGTACTAAGCTAACAGTTAAAAGCTTATTTTGACTACAAAAGATTGTTGGTGAATTAAGGATGTCAGGGGCAATTCTGATGACCAGCCTGGTCTCTGTTCTGCTTGAGCAAGTGTTACAAAGCTCTTTAGCTCTACTGATAAGTGCCCAGATGCACCCCACTCCAACAGTAAGCCTTGGCCTGAAGGCACTCAGTTTTCTAGCTCCAGGGCTCAGAGAGACTAATGCCTCTGACAAGTGCCCAGAGACACCCTATTCTGCCAGGAAGCCTCCTGCATAAAGACATTCAAGAGACCAGGAAGCAGAAGCTAAAGAGCCATGGAATGTGGAAGTCTAAGGCCATGACCTCTGGGCTTTCAAAATGTGGAAACATGGTCTTTAGGATTTCTAAGGGTGGAGCCATGGTTTCCTAAGTTTCAAAGAGCTGATTCTTCTTCACCAACTTGCTTCTTGAGAAAGATGGGACCTCTGCCAAAAGCTGAGGGAGTGGAGCTGTCATGCCTGAGGGAGCAGAAAAAGAGGGCTGCCAGGGTTGAGATGGTGAGGTCATCCCTCAGATGGGACTAGGAGAACAGGGCCACCCAAAGCCTAGGGTGCTGAATTGCTATTCTAAATTCACACAACATCTTACCAACTATCCACAGAATCAGATTGTCTATTATAAATGACCAATTATAAAGACAATACACCACTAACTTCTAATAATCATACTATGCTGACAAATACCACAAAGGAAAAGAGCCTCACGGTAATTTGAAAAACAATATTGTACAGGGATAGTTTCGACCTGTTAGCAGACTATAACGAACCTCAAATCATACTTCTTTTAATAGACAAAAATATTCATTTCCTCCAAACCAAGCATACAGCTTAAATTAACATCATTAGCTCTTATCATTGCACAAAATAATCTAATTGCCATCACTGTCTAGTTGTCTGGTGCATCTTAAATGAAGATCAGTTTTATTTTTAGAATGTTCAGATTCAAAGTTGTATTTTTAATCAACCAGAAAGCACATATCACCATGAAGCACAGGACAGTAAAGACAATTTATTATTGTCATTTTTAGGCTAATCTAGTAATGCTCTGGTAGCATATTGGTTACGAATCGGGCTACAAGCCGCAAGGTCAGCAGTTCAAAACTACCAGCTGTTCCGCGGGAGAAAGATGAGGCTTTCTGCTCCCTTAAAGATTTACAGCCTCGGAAATCCTGTATAGGGTCGCTATGGGTCGGATCCGACTCGATGGTACTTAACAACAACATAGTTAGTTATAAGGAGCTCTGGTAGCGTAGTGGTTACGAATTGGGCTGCTAACCTTAGGGTCAGCAGTTCGAAATTACCAGCTGTTCCGCAGCAGAAAGATGAGGCTTTAGGATCCCGTAAAGATTTACAGCCTCCCGTAAATATTTACAGGAAACCCTGTACAGGGTCGCTATGAATCGGAACCGACTCCACGGCACATAACAACAACAACAACATCACTATTTCTGGTGTAGCATTGTAGATTAATGCACCAGACTGCAAAGTCGGTTTGAAGCGCAAGGTCAGTGGTTAGAAGCTCACCAGCCGCTCCTTGGAAACCCTGTATAGGATCGCAATGGGATGGAACCAACTCACCGGCAAAACAACATCACTATTTAAGCCATGTAAATAAGTTCACTTAATATCATTATTAGAGTCCCGGTGTGGTGCTGTGGGTTAATGAACTAGACTGCAAAGTCTGAATTGCAATGTCTGCAATTCGAGATCACCAGCTGTTCCTCGGAAACCTTATGCAGGGTCACTATGGGTCGGAACCGACTCTATGCCACTTAACAACAGCAGCAATACCCTTTACTGAGTGAAATAAAAATTTATTTAAAGAGGAATATTCTAGCTAATTAGTTTGAAATCCATTTCTCTCCCTTTATCCTTTAATCCTCTAAACTAAAGGTCTGGTAAATTTTGCTTATGGGACAAATGTAACCAGCAAACCTGTTTCATACATAAAGTTTTACTGGAAAACAGATAAGCTCATTCTTTGTGATGCACCAAGATGTACTTCCCCCACCCTGTCTTCTCACACAAGTTCATTGTTTACCATGCATAGGCAGTAGTTGCTGTGAGCAAGCATTACTAATTCATTCAACTTAATATATATATGTATTTTTTGCTATTATGTTCCTGTGCTGTATAAAGCTTAAGGAAAATCAGGGAACAAAGTTAAGTCCTTGCTCTGCCAATAAGGAAAACAGTATAAAGAATATATGTCATGAGTTGATTAGTGCTATGAAGAACATTAAAGTAGCTTTATAGGACTGAGTAGCAGTCCTGGTGTGGCGCTGTAGGATAAGTGCTCGACTGCAAGGTTAGTTTGAACCAAAAGGTCAAAGGTTCAAACTCACCAAAGGGTCCTCAGAAACCCTATACAAGGTCGCTATGAGTTACAACCAACTTGAAGGCACTTAGAGCAGCAACACAGGATAGAGGGGGAAGCTCAGTAGCTCTATACAATAAACACTGGACTCGAACCACAAAGTCACCTTCCCTGACATTTTTGTCTAAAATAAGTATTCTCTCTCCCAGTCAATTGTCTTTTGTTGTTGTTGTTGTTAAGATCCATCAAGTCGATTCTGACTCACAGGGACACTGTATAGGGTTTCTGAGGCTGTAAATCTTTATGGGAGAAGAAAGTCTCATCTTTCTCCTGTGAAGCAGCTGGTAGATTCAAAATGCTGACCTTGCAGCTACAAGCCCAACTCATAATCCGAACCAACTCCACAGCACATAACCACCACCAGGGCTTCTTAGGAGGTAAAGTCAGAGCGGTACCTCAGATGCTGCAATAGGGGGAAAGGATGGGTTGAGATAAACCAATTCCAGAATCTCCATTGTATACTGACCAATATTACAGTTCTCTATGAGCTCAGGCTCTTTGCAACTAAAATCTAGCCCATCTTCCTATTCCCCTAGGAGTCTTTACAATAGGATGCTACCAATTAAGCAGTCCTAGTTATTCCAGGCAATTTGAGGGAGTCACCGAGGATGGTACTAGAGACAGGGCTATCATGCTTTTTAATTATTTTTCTGTTTTCAAATTAATTATACAAGTGAAAGGGAGGAAGTGGGGAGGCTAGTCTAACTGGTATCAAAATACAACAATCTGGGTAAAGTTGGGTTTTCTCTACAATTCTCTCTCTCCACATCAGTAATTCTCAACCCTAACTACACACTGGATTTTAATTCTAGCCAAGATTCACTCCACTTTTAAAACTCAGTTCATCTAGATTCTGTTCCTAAAACAGTGACCCAAAGCCTTCAAAAAGGTGAGGCAGAGCATCATTCTGTGGCTTTTTTTTTTTTTTTTTTAAGTTCCCCACATGATTCTACTGTGCAGT